TCGTGTCTTGGGCAAATGAGATATATGGGTTTTCATGGTTGGTGAAGCTAGATTAAATCAGAAACTAGAATATCAGGCAAAAAGTAAGTGTTTTTCCCCTTATTTATAAGTGAAGCAGAGGGAATTTCCGATCCAGCCACAGCCAGTCACCAACGAGGTTAACCACTATGTGGCATTAGAAGTACGAAGAGTAATATGCTGCTCTTAACTGTACTGGAGAGATCAAAATAAAAATGAGAGGAAGAGAAAGACAAAGTCAGACAAAGTCTTAGAGAAAAAAAGAGACTTAGAGAAAGATCACCAAAGGTGAAAGAAAGAAAGAAAGAAAATGACACCTAACATGTTTTCTAATCTCAACAATCTTATGAGTCACTTTCATCTTCACCTGTTGGCAAAGTGAGTGACAAATTGGAATTAAATGTAGGAATCACCTTTCCAAACATTTTAAGGTAGGTATTTCCTAGTTTATGGGTCAACAGGAATCAGGGGTATTGGGGGGAAGGTCCTGTCAACAACAATGAGAAAAGTGAATTTAATTCAAAGAAACTTTCAATTTGTTTTATTTATTTTCCACTATGGTGGAACTATTTAAAAGGCAGTTTGATATTTGCCTTCTGTGTTCAAAATTAGATTTATGGAAAAGCAATATGTAATTCTTCTTTTTTCAGTGATCCATATAGCTGTGGGACTGGGTAATATTGCCAGGAGAGGATATGTAGTATAAGAAGGAGAACCATGAAGATGAATGTAGTTGTCAGTGGAATCTATGGTATCAACAGTATAGTCAGACAAAGGAACATAAGAAGGGTATTTTTGAAATGGCAGAAAAAAAATTAAGATAAACAATATAGAAACAAAATATGTATTTTAAGGAGAAAATAATGTTAAGCATTGCACAGGTATCAATTCAGTAGAGTCTTTACCAAGTTTATCATGTTTGGTTAATAGAGGATCATTTTTATTTTTTTTTTCCAGAAAAGTGAGGTTAGAGTTGTACATGTAAGCATTATTACAGTGGTTTGAAATGCACTTTAATTGATTAGAAAACCAGAAGTCATAGTGACTAATGTGACGGTTAGGAATATAAACAAAATGAGAGAGGGAATATTAGCAGGAGGAGGTCCCCGCTTCTGGTATAACGAAATGTATTAAAACGTGAATAGTTTGTCAGTAGGCAAAGAAAAAGAATATTGCAAATGCTTACAATACAAGATTTTAGGAGAAAGGTAATAAGCAACAACAACATATCTAGGGAAATTTGACCAGAAGAAAAGGAGAGGTTCTCTTCCTGCTGGGATAAGAAATGGGAGAAAAAAGAAGGTGAGAAGTGTATATGTATATTATAAATACACTTAATGGCAGAGAGAAAAAGAGAGAGAGGTGGAAATTGAATAGAAAGGTAGAATTTAGATGTAGAAGGATATAGAAATCAGTCAGGGAATTCAGAGATGCACAAATGTTGTGACAACTCTTTAAGATTTTCTCTAGTATTATTGAGTTTCTCTGTTAAAATAACAGAAGAGACTGATCAAAATTTGAGATTTTCAGACACAGACTGGTGGGTAATTAAAGGAGCAAAGATGTTTTATTACATGACCAAGGAGTAGCTAATATGTCATACGATAAATAAAAAGCAAGGGAAGAATTTGAGTTAGGAAGAGGGGATAGTGGCCCTGAATGAGAGAGAAAAATAAACAACATGGATCACAATATGCTGAAAATAAAAAAGAGGTATTTATTAGAATACAAAGTTTTGATGAGTAACTTGTACATGAATAGTGTCTGTTGTACACATTTTCAGGGTAATTCCAAGTTTATGTTATGGTTCTGTGAAGTTCTATAATATGAAACATGACTGAAAGCTTTTACTCATGGAGATTTAAAAATAAAACAGCAAAACAAAATAAAACACCTTATTTTCCTCATTCACAATTATTAAAACATAATAAGTATTTAGTGTTTTTGCCAGGACAGGAAAAAAAAAAATCCAGATACAGGAACACTTGTCTCCTTTAACCTGTTATTTCTATACTCTAAATATAAGAATTCGGGGGCACCTGGGTGGCTCAGTGGGTTAAGCCTCTGCCTTCGGCTCAGGTCATGATCCCAGGGTCCTGGGATCGAGCCCCACATCGGGCTCTCTGCTCAGCAGGGAGCCTGCTTCCTCCTCTCTCTCTGCCTGCCTCTCTGCCTACTGGTGATCTCTCTCTCTGTGAAATAAATAAATAAAATATTAAAAAATAAATAAATAAATAAATAAATAAATATAAGAATTCTGTGCCTTTTAGTGATTTACTTTTTTTAAAATTTGGAACATTTAGATGAATGTTATTTTGAAGCCAATAATCTCATGCAACAAGTTGCATTCAATACATTGCCAAGACAAAAAAATTTGGAAAGAATTTGTTGGCTGATACATCAGTGCAGATATAAAGGAAAGAAAATGTGTAAAGAATGAGGTGGATAGAGAGAAAACAACTTAAGGACTGTATTGATCAACGAATTTTCCTGGGAGAATACAGAATGGATTGACGCATTGAAGAGTGGAAGACTTACATGGATTTTTTTTTTTAATTTTATTTGTTTATTTGACAGACAGATCACAAGCAGGCAAAGAAGCAGGCAGAGAGAGAAAGGGAGGGAAGCAGGCTCCCCGCTGAGCAGAGAGCCCAATGTGGGGCTCGATCCCTGGACTCTGGGATCATGACCTGAGCCGAAGGCAGAGGCTTTAGTCCACTGAGCCACCCAGGTGCCCCACATGGATGGTATTATACAAAGAAGGCTTTGCATGATCGAAGATATAATCATAGTAAACTAAGAATACTGGCTTCACACTAAGGACTTTCATGAGGGTATGGGGAATTCATGGGAATTAAGGATAGAGAGATACTTATGGAAGTTGGCATGTTCCTTAGTCAGCCAGGATTAGTGGTGAATTAAGCAACAAACAAACAAACAACAAACAAACCAAAAACCCCCCCCCCAAAAAAAACAAAAAACAAGAAACCCAACAAACAAAACCTTTGGATTTATAGCTCTTAAAATCCCTTCAAGAACTAGGGGAATTAGACTGCACTTTTTTTTTTTTTTTAAATCTTATCTATAGTCAGAACTTCATGATGTCTCTGAAATTAAACTTATGCAACATACTTATAAAACCTACCAAAGAAGAATCGTCATCCAACACAAGTGAGAAGAACATTGTCATCCAACACAAATGAGAAGTAGAAGTCCACATTGGGTGGAATTAGCATTCTAATGTCTGTTTCTAAAGCATTCATTTTATAGATCTAAGTCTTTAAATTATTTTGTAAAAATTTAAACTGACTTCATAGATGTTTTCCTGCTGATGAATTAATAGCACAAAAGGTAGCAGAGAGGCCAAAACCAAAGGTTCTAATAATGAATCATATAAGAAATGCTAGGTGTTTGAGTCCTTTTTTGGGGGGGGTGTATAATTAAAAAAAATTTTTTTTGTATTAACATACAATGTATTATTTGTTTCAGGGGGTACAGGACTGTGATTCATCAGTTTTACACAATTCACAGAGTTCACCATAGCACATACCCTCTCCATTGTCCACCACCCAACCACTCCATCCCTCCCACCCTGCTCCACTCCAGCAACCCTGAGTTTGTTTTTTAATTTGGTAATTTTTTTATTGTTGTGTTTTAAGAGTCCTTTGTATATTTTGGAGTAAAAAGTAATTTTATCCAATATATGCTTTGCAAATATTTTCTACCTGTCTGTGCTTTGTCTTTTCATTCTCTTAACAATGTCTTTCACAGAACTGATGCTTTCCAATTTTAATTAGGTCAATTTATCAGTTTCTTTTTTCATGGATCAAACTTTTAATGTTAATAAAAAGATTACTGTCAGAGACAAGGTCTCCCAGATTTTACTCCATTCTCCCTTTTAAAATTTGTAGAGTTTCAAATTTTCAATCTAGAAGTACTGTGATCCATTCTGAGTTAATTTCTGTGAAAGGTGTAAGGTCTGTTTTCTACTTCCATTTATTTTTTCATGTGGATGTGCAGTTGTTCTGGCACCATTAGTTGAAAAGACCCTTCTTTCTCCATTAAATTGCCTTTGTTCCTGTGTTAACTACTTACATATGTGTATCTAGTTGTGGACTTTCAATTCTGTTCCACTGAATGATTTGGTTATTCTGCATTACAACACTGTTTTGATCACTGCCGTGCTAAATTCTAGAGTACAGTAGTGTCATTTTTCCAACTTTGTTCATCTTCAGTGTGTGTTGCTATTCTGGGTATTTTGCCTTTGCATATTAACTGAAGAACAGTTTGTACATATACACAAGTTTTGTATGGAGCGTTGATTTGATTGGGATTACATTGTATATATGCATCAAGTCGACAATAAATTACATCTTAATAGTACTAAGTTTTCCTTTTAGGCACAGAGACATTTAACTTTTTATTATAGCAATGAATCTTCACAAACAGATTATTGTCTTTAAAGTCAAGGTCACAACTTTGTAACTTCCTATTTTCCCATGGTATAGAATACTGCTTGGAATGGTGAATGTTCCTTTTTTTTTTTTTTTCTTTCTCTTTGTATTGACTGCAGACTAAATGCCTATGAATTCCTCTTGGGTAAAAACAAAATTGATAAATGTAATATCTTATATTTCTGAACCTATTATTAATCCAAACTAATATTTTGTAACTCATAAATGTGCACAAATGCACATACAATATCAGGTGTGACTGGGTCTGCTAGGCATACTGAATTGTCCTGTGTATTTGTTTGCCTTCATAGAGAGAGAGAGCCAGAGACAGAGACAAAGAATTTTGGGAGCCTGTATATGCATTTCTAGACTTACATCATCAATGAACACATATGATTGACAAAATGCCTTTTAAAAACACATTCAATTTCTGTTTCTAGAAATTTCAATAAACCTAGATGAGAACAAATAAAGAAGAGAGAAACCAATATAAAACTTGAAGCATTAATCAGGCAGCTCTAAGCCAAAATGTTCAATCTCAATGACACGGTCTTCATGCCCTCAGTGTTGACACTGATCGGGATCCCTGGATTGGAGTCTGTGCAGTTCTGGTTTGGAATTCCTTTCTGTGCCATGTACATCACTGCTCTATTTGGAAATTCCCTGCTCCTGATCATCATCAAATCTGAACGCAGCCTCCATGAGCCCATGTATCTCTTCCTGGCAATGCTTGGAGCAACAGACATTGCTCTCAGTACCTGCATCCTACCCAAAATGCTAGGAATATTCTGGTTTCATCTGCCAAAAATATACTTCGATGCTTGTCTCTTTCAGATGTGGCTCATCCACACCTTCCAGTGCATTGAATCAGGAATTCTGTTGGCCATGGCCCTAGATCGCTATGTGGCCATCTGTGATCCCCTGAGACATGCAACCATCTTTACCCACCAACTTCTCACTCAGATTGGGGTTGGAGTGACGCTCAGAGCAGCCCTCCTTGTAGCTCCATGTCTCATCCTCATCAAGTGTCAGTTGAAACACTACCGGACCACTGTGGTCTCCCATTCATACTGTGAGCACATGGCCATCGTGAAGTTGGCAGCAGAAGACATCCGAATCAACAAGATCTATGGTCTCTTTGTGGCTTTCACTATACTTGGATTTGACATAGTCTTCATCACACTCTCTTACATCCAAATATTTCTAACTGTCTTCAGTCTTCCTCAGAGGGAAGCTAGGCTCAAAGCCTTCAATACCTGCATTGCCCATATTTGTGTCTTCCTCGAGTTTTATCTACTGGCTTTCTTCTCCTTCTTTACACACAGGTTTGGATTCCATATTCCACCCTACATTCATATTCTTCTGTCCAACCTTTATCTGCTTGTCCCTCCTTTGCTCAATCCTATTGTGTATGGGGTAAAGACCAAACAGATTCGAGATCGAGTGTCCAAGATTTTCTACTCTAAAGATCCATCTTGATTTCTCATTTAACTCTTTTTAAATAATAAAATTTCACTTTTATTGTTATATATTTATATAACATGTTATATAACATGTTATATTTATATATATATATAAAATTTATATTTATATAACATGTTATATATTTATATATATTTATTATAGTTTGGGGTCAGATTTTGTGCTTTCTCAAGTTCATTTGTGCTGCTGAAATATACAGTTTTAGATTTTACTTTGGAGACAAGATCTGTCTTCTATGTAAACAATTTTAACTTTTATGAATATACAATCAACTCATGAGTAGATGGTATAAAAGGCAGAAAACATGAAGACTTGTTTCTAACTTAGTCAATGAAAATTTTTCTTTAATCTTTCAGTGAGGATGTTTCTTAAAGACACAAATAAAATTTAAGTGGTTAACCTCGATTAAAAATATTAAGTTCATGGGGTTCTTCAAAAACAATAAATTCATTCTAAAGTTGATAATTCTGATGACCATGTACAATTTGTTTTCTAATTTTGATTTCAGTAGCCTTTCTTCTCAACTTTATCATCCTCATCATTTTAATTATCATCATCATTCAAGTTTTAATTATTTTCTGACTTACGTTCAGATGTTTAATTTTTGGATGTTTAATTTTGTATTGGAATGAAAATTAATACATTTTTAAAATCTAAAAGATTTGGATTTGTAGAAACTTGAATATGTAGTTACTAAGAGTTCCTATAGACCCCCTACCTAGTATTCCTTATTGTCATCTTTCATTAATATATGTTACAGTTAGTGTATCAATATTGATAAACTGATTTACTAAATTCCATATTTTATTCATATTTCTTAATTTTTACCTAACTTCCTTTTTTTTCCTTCCAAGATCCCATCCTGGATGCCACATTGCATTTAATTGTCAGGTCTCTATACAATGCTCTTGGCTATACCTTTCTGAGACTTCCCTTGTTTCTAATGACTTCCAAAACATTGAAGAGTACTGTTCAGGTATTTCATAGGAATCTTTTCCATTGGAATTTATCTGATGTCATTGTATTGATTAGATTGGAATTATGTGCTTTGGGGAGGAAAATCATAGCTGTTAAAGTCCCATGTTGATGACATACCAAAGGTACATATTATCAACATAATTTATCCATTGTGTATATTAACCTTAATTGTCAGATTTCTCCATTTTAATTCCATTTAATTTCATTTTCATACTGAACTTTTGGAACTTTTGAACTTTTTGCTTAACCAATGGAGCCACCCAGCTCCCCATCATCTACACATTTTAAAATATATTATACTTTTTTTTTGTTTGTTTATATTATCTGGGATGGCTGGTGGATTTTATTTTCTCTTTCTTAATTAATTTTTTACCATTTAATTTCTCATGTATCTTTGGCCTATATTTGACACTTAAACACTTGCTGACATTAACTGTTTTGTGTCACTTGACATGTTTTTCACTGAGATAAGAAATGCTTTTAGAAAAAAAATACATTTTTTAAAGATAGTTTGTGTGGGGGAATAAGTGCAAAATGCCCACTTTGAGATATGTTGAATTAAATAAGTAGGACCTTCTAGGAGATAAACCCAGTTGGGAACTCTATTTAAACATTTTGAAAAATACCTTTATTAGTTGATCTTAATATTTTCAATGGCTATCATGGCAATGAGCATTGGTGTGTATGGAAGGTTGTGTTGACTATTGTGATAATTATGTTTCATCCATTGTTTCATTGAATTCTGACTTTAGCACTATAAAGTATAAAAATTATTTTCCATGTTTCTCAATGATGAAGTTAGGATTTATAATGTTAAAAATGACACCCATCCAGCTATTAGTGATGGGTGGGAAGCAGTATTTAAATGACCTTTCCCCCCAAAACCCAGTCTAAAATATCTGATTAACCCACTCAATATAGACTCATTGAAGAAATGGAAGAACTACATGATAATTATAAGGAAACACAATTATTTTCAACATAAAACAAAGATGTTGATATGATACATGCACAGTCATTAACAAATAAGAATGTGGCTGTAGATGAAACACCTAAAAATGTAAAGTTTTTGAGGAATTAATTCGAGAGCACAGAATGTTCATGTAATGTCCACAAAATAAATACCAGTCCTGATCAAAAACTAACAGTTTCCAATTCAATGAACCTTTCATTCCATGGTGATCTAAAGTAAAACAATATTTTGAACAGAGCATTTTACAGATATGCCCGATGTAATTTATTCTGTGTTCCCTGCATAATAAAATTAACATTAGATTAAGAAGTGAATCATTTTCAACTTTAGCACTAAATGAATGTGACCGAAACAAATTGATATTCACTAAAGAAAAAGAAGGAAGGAAGGAAGGAAGGAAGGAAGGAAGGAAGGAAGGAAGGAAGGAA